CCATGTACTGCAGAAAAAAGTATATTCCTTTCTATCCCCATTCAGTTTTCTCCAGAGGTCTATCATACCTAACTTTTCTAATGTTCTATTCACCTCCTTAACTTCTTTCTTGTTTATTTTGTGGTTAGACTTATCTAGTGCAGAGGGGGAGGTTCAGGTCCCCCACTAGTGTAGTTTTGCTGTGTATTTCTTTCTGCAACTCCCTGAACTTCTCCTGTAGGAATCTGGATGCTATACCATTTGGTGCATATATATTTAGTAATGATATTACTTCATTGTCTATGGTGCCTTTTAGCAGGATGTAGTTTCCTTCCTTATCTCTTTTGATTAGATCTATTTTTGCTTTTGCTTTGTCTGAGATCAGGATTGCTACCCCTGCTTTTTTCTTCAGCTGACGCATAATATATTCTGCTCCAGCCTTTTACCTTTACCCTGTATGTGTCACTCTTTTTCAAATGTGTTTCCTGTAAACAACATATTGTAGGATTATGGTTTTTAATCCATTCTGCAATCCTTTCTGTTTTATGGGAGAGTTCATCCCATTCACATTCACAGTTATGATTACTATCTGTGTCTTTTTCTCCATCCTTTTCCCCCATTTATGCTTTTCTTTCTCCTTTTTCCTTTCTGCTCTTCACTAGTGTTTTGCTTTTGACCACCGCCTCCTTCAGTCCCTCTCCCCTTTCATTATCCCTTTCCCTTTTCTTCCCTTTAGTCTTACTGCTTCTTCCCTCCCTTCTTTCCCCCTCCCTTTTCTTTCCCCCTCCCTTTTCTTTCCCCTTTTCCCTCCTACTGCCTATAGGGCAAGTTAGATTTCTATACCTAACTGATTATATTATGCCCTTCTTGAGCCAAATCTGATGAGAGTAAGGTTCAAACAATGCTCCCCCCCTTCTTTCCCTCTGCTGTAATAGGATTTTGTGTCTTTTCCTGTAATGTAATTTACCCTTGTCTGCCTCCTCCTTTCTCAGTACATTTTCTAAGATCAGATTGATCCACTTATTTGGATCCATTTAACCCACTTGATTAGATTTTTTTTATCATTACATCAAAGTCAACTAATATCCACCCTCTTTATGTATACTCCTTTAACAAGGTGTAATAACAATACAGTTCTCAAGGGTTGCAAGTCTCATATTCCCTTGTAGGGGTTTAAACAGCCCCCCCCTTATTAACAACATATTGTATCCTTCTGTCCCATTTACCTTTTTAAGTCCTTCTTGAGTCCTGTACTTGAAGATCAAATTTTTTGTTGAGCTCTGGTCTTTTTATCAGGAAAGTTTGGAAGTCTCCTATTTCGTTGAATATCCACCTCCTCCCTTGAAAAATGATGCTCATTTTTGCTGGGTAATTGATCCTTGGCTGCATTCCAAGCTCCTTTGCCTTACGGAATATCATGTTCCATGCCCTGCGGTCTTTTAATGTAGAAGCTGCAAGGTCCTGTGTAATCCTGACTGTGGTTCCATGATATTTAAATTCTTTCTTTCTGGCTGCTTGCAGCACCTTCTCTTTCATCTGGTAATTTTGGAATTTTGCTATTATATTTCTTGGCGTTGTCAATTTGGGATCTCTTTCAGGTGGTGATCGGTGGATTCTTTCTATGGTTATTTTCCCTTCTGGTTCTAGGACTTCTGGGCAGTTTTCCTTTATGATTTCCTGAAAGATACTGTCCAGGCTCTTTTTTTCATCATGATTTTCAGGTAGTCCAATAATTTTTAAATTGTCTCTCCTGAGTCGATTTTCCAGGTCGGTTGTTTTACTGATGAGGTATTTTACATTTTCATCTATTTTTTCATTTTTTTTTTGTTTGACTGATTCTTGCTCTCTCCTAGAGACATTAGTTTCCATTTGTCCAATTCTAGTTTTTAACAGATTGTTTTCTTCTGTTAGTTTTTGTACTTCCTTCTTCAACTGGCCAATTGTGTTTTTTAGGGACTTGTTTCCTTCAGTATACTCTTCTGTTAGATTTTGTACTTCCTTCTTCAACTGGCCAATTGTGTTTTTTAGGGACTTGTTTTCTTCAGTGTACTCTTCTGTTAGTTTTTGTCCTTCCTTCAATTGGCCAATTGTGTTTTTTAGGGACTTGTTTTCTTCAGTGTATTTTTTTTCCAATGGCCAATTGTATTTTTGAAGGACTCTTTTACCTCTCTCATTTGACTATTAAAATCCTTCTTGAGCTCTTCTAAGAAGGCTTTTTGGGCTTCAGACCAGTTCATATTCCCTTTTGTTGTTGCAGATGTGGGTTTGTTGACAATGTTGTCCTCTTCAGAATTTCTGTCTTGATCTTCACTCTTCTCATAATATGAATCTATGGTACGTTTCTTTTTACTCATGGTGTTTCTTTATTCCCTGGCCTTTAAAGAGATTGAGCTCTCCTGCTGGGGAACAGAGGGTACTGACCCAAGCTTCTTGTGTTGGGAGCCTAGGTCTTGGTCACTGGCTTTGTGTGCTGGGGCCTCTTATGCTGGGAATTGGAGGCTGTAGGTTTCTGGCAGCTTACCTTGTGTTGGGCTGGAATCAGCAAGGCTGGAACTTTCAGGCAATTCTAGGTTGCCTGCTTTTCCTTTCCTTTAGCTTTCTTCAGCTCCTATTAGATGGTTGCTGCAGGATGTTTATCTGCCTGGGGCCCCTGCAGTGTTGTCTCCCTCTTTCTGCTAATGCACTGGGAGATTCCTTTGCTGGAGTGCCGAGGCTCCTGGTGGTTTTCTGAGCTGGTTTCCACTGGTTCCCACCCTCAATGAGGCACTCGGAGATCCAGGTGTTGGTGTTTGCCTGCTCTACCACCTGGGCTTCAGGATTTCTTCACAATTGGAGGCTTCAGGGCTCCTACAGCTCACCTTGTGTTAGGTTGGAATCAGCAACACTGGGGCTTTAAGAAGCCTTTAGGTTGTTTTCTTCACATCTGATCAGATGAATGCTCCAGGGTACTTGTACGCCTGGGGCCCCTTGTAGTTCTCCCTCCCTTATTTTTGCTGAGGCACTGGGAGACCCCTTTGCTGGGCTGCTGCACTGCTGCTTCTCGTCCTTCTTCTAGTTCAGGTGTTCCAGGGTTTTTTATTCTGGGGTGATATTTCCTGGGTTTTCAGAGGTTGATAGGGGACAGTAAGAGCGACCACCTTTTCACTCCGCCATCTTGGCTCCCGGAAGGGGAAGTCTAGACCAATAATTTTTAAATCGTCTCTCCTGGATCAATTTTCCTGGTCAGTTGTTTTTCCAATGAGATATTTTACATTTTCATCTATTTTTTTCATTCTTTTGCTTTTTGTTTGACTGATTCATACTCTCTCATACAGTCATTGGCTTCCATTTGCTCAATTCTAATTTTTAACAAATTGTTTTCTTCTGTTAGATTTTGTATCTCCTTCCCCATTTGGCCAATTGTATTTTTAGGCACTTGTTTTCTTCGGTGTACTTTTTTCCAGTTGGCCAACGGTATTTTTTAAGCACTTGTTTTCTACACTTTATTTTTCTCCTTCCTTTTCCAAACTATTGACTCTCTCTTGCATACCTCTTGTTTCTATTTCCATTTTTCTTCTACCTCTCTCATTTCACTTTTAGAATCCTTCTTGAGCTCTTCTGAGAAGACGTTTTGGGGCTTCACACCAGTTCCAGATGTGCTTTGTTGACAATGGTGTCCTCTTTAGAATTTCTGCCTTGATCTTCACTCTTGCCATGATAACAATCTGTTGTATGTTTCCTATTGCTCAAGGTGTTTCCTTATCTCCTGGCCTGTAAAGAGACTGGGCTCTCCTGCTGAGGAGCAGAGGGAACTGACCCAAGTTTCTTGTGTTGGGAGCCTAGCGGCCTGGTCACTGGCTTTGTGGCCTGGGGCCTGCAATGTTGTCAGGTAGATGCTGTAGGTTTCTGGCAGCTTACCAGGTGCTGGGCTGGAAACAGCAAAACTGGAACTGCAGGAGTAGAACTGGGTAAGGTGGCTCTTGGAGATTTCCTACTCACCCAGGCCCTTCCTTCCTCTTGCTTTCTTCAGCTCTTTTCAGTGGGATTTTGTAGGGTGTTCATCCACCTGGCGGGGACCCTTAGAGAGCTGCTTCCCTTAGTTGTGCTGAGGCCCTAGGAGAGTCAGCTGCTGTAGAATGCCAAGGCACCTGGTGGTTTTCTGAACAGGTTTGCACTGGTTCCCCTGGCCTCACTGAGGCACTCAGAGATCCAGGTGTTAGCATTTGCTTGCTTTACCACCTGGGCTTCAGGATCTCCTCCTACTATGCTGAGGTGGGCTTTCTGCTAGCTTGCTGGGATGCCTCCCATTCTGTACTGTTCCCCTTCCACCAGGGCAAGAAGACACTTCCCAATTGATCCCTCAAGCTACCTGGGCTACTGGATTGCTGTACCCCATCTTTCTTCTGGTTCAGCTGTTCCACGGTTATTCCTGGGGTGATATTTTCAGTGGTTTCAGGGGTTAATAAGGGAGAGTAAGAGGGACTCACCTCTTACTCCACTATCTTGACTCCTGGAAGTGGAAGTCCAACAATGTGTTTTCTTGCACAGTGGATAGAGCACTGGCCCTGGAGTCAGAAGGACCTGAGCTCAAATGCAGCCTCACACATACAACCCTGATTAGCTGTGTGACTCTGGGCAAGTCACTTAACCCTAACTGCCTCAAAGGAAAAAAAATTAAATGTGTTTTCTTTCCCTTCTCTTCCACCAAATGGAGGTATTGAACAGGAAGTGACATTGACAGAAAAAAAACTTTAAGGAAATCATTAGAAAGAAACATAAGAATAAGCTCTAATTTAAAACAATACAAGATATATATTAACAGTGTTGCTAGGACAAGGTAAGAACACAAGTTCCATGCAAGGGGTCAGGAAGGGTCTGTCAGACTGAACAAGTACTTGGGGGATGTATCTAACAGAAGAATTCTTAATATGAGCCTCAGTTCATTGCATGACTATTAATAGGAAGGTGAAAAGGAGCCTCCTCCTATAACATAGGAGCCCTTGCAGAAAAGAAGCAGCAGGACTTTGCCAGAGAGACAATACCTGAGCAGATGACACTGGCGTCCTCACTGTGCCGACAGTTGTGGATCAGCCACCCATTGTGGCGACAGGACCACAGATAGAATTCAGACCCGGAACACCGCACGTTATCCAGGAGAATTCTGCCAGTGCCCTGACCAAAACGGGCCCTTCCTGGAGCTGACAGAGCATATCCACAACCCAGCTGCCTGCACACAACGTTGCCATCAGTCACATCCCAGTCATCATCACAAACAGTGCCCCAGGATCCTTGATATCTGACTTCCACTCGACCCCGGCATCTGTCTCCTCCGTTCACCAGTGTCAAGGCCAGACCAGAATCTAATCCAAGGGAGACAAGGGGAGAGAACAATTTCATTTCAGTGTCCTTCCTCAGGAATGAAATCCCAGGGCTTTTAGAGACTTCCCTCAAAGCTCAGAAGGGGCTGAGATTGCTGAGGTGGGGACTCTCCTTTAGGGGTGTCTTAGTGTGAAAGTAACACAATGAAAAGGATACCAAAAGGCTATCCCATTCCCAAAAGGTATTATTCCTTCCATTCTTACTCCCTAGTCTGAAGCTCAGCAGACTATATACATGGGAAGCTTAAAATTCCGTGATTTAAGGGGTGTCTGCATAGCATAAAGGAGACAGCTTTGGCCTTAAAGTCAGGAGGACCTGAGATGAAATCCAACCTCAGACAATGACACTTACTAACTGTGTGACCTTGTGTAAGTCACTTAACCCCAATTGCCTAAGCAAAAAAAAAAAATTCCTGATTTATCCTACATAATATTATGAAGACCTCACTGGAATTGTTATTAACAAAAGGTGTAAGTGTGTCTCTACCTCCCGTATCATCTTAATGGGCAAGAATTTCCCACTACAAAACAATCAGGTATTAAGATGATCGTTTGTTCATCATTGTTCCTTTTTGTTCTCTACACTTCCAGTTAGGTATATGACCAAAACTTTAAAAGAATGATCTGGTTAGTCTATGAAGGAAATATCTAACACAGGAGAAAGGAGAGAAGTAAAAATAGTAAAAAAAAAAAAAAAGAAGAAGAAGAAATGAAGGATAAAAGGAAATGAAGGAAGAAGAGTGGAAGAAGACAAAAAGAAAATAAAGCAAAAGAAGAAAGAAAGAAAACAAGAAGGAAAGAAAGAAAGAAAGAAAGAAAGAAAGAAAGAAAGAAAGAAAGAAAGAAAGAAAGAAAGAAAGAAAGAAAGAAAGAAAGAAAGAAAGAAAGAAAGAAAGAAAGAAAGAAAGAAAGAAAGAAAGAAAGAAAGAAAGAAAGAAAGAAAGGAAGAAAGAAAGAAGATTGAAGGAGTAAATAGAAAGTACTATTTTCCTCCTGAAAGTGATGAATACCTTTCTCTGGAAAGAAATATAAAATCTGAGAGCTAATTTGGACCTCTTCTTTCTTTGGCATGAAATGGCAATGACCTGCTCCACATCCACAATAATTCCTAATGATAGTTTCAGGAGAAAAAACATCCAGCTCCTCCAGGGGCAACGAAAATTGGAAGGTAGGAAAGATACCCTAGGATTCCTTTGTCCATATTTTGCCTCCTCGGCCAGGGTCATACTAGCAAAGTGGTCCTAACTCAGTCCTACAACAGGTTCTAGAACATAATACAATCGTTGGCACCAGTGAACGTGGAACAAGGGGCAATTGGTAGTTGTTCCAGATGATATTCAGGAGCGAAAAGGCCTCCTCAGCAGGTAAGGAAACATGGGGAAAGTTGGCCCATGTAGCTGACACTGTGTTTCAGAATTTTCATCTCAGGGGCAGCTACATGACACAGTGGATAGAGCACTGGCCCTGCAGTCAGGAAGACATAAGTTGGAATCCGGTCTAAGACACTTGAGACTTACCAGCTGTGTGACCCTAACCAAGTCACTTAACCCCAATTGCCTCACCAAAAATAAAAATGAAGAATCTAAAACATTTCAAGAGTCACTATATGGAAAACCATAGGTATAAGAAAAAGAAGAAACAAGAACAGCACCTACACTTACTATGTTTCAGAAAAAAGGGCTTAAATGTGATCCATATGAGAGTGAGAGGAACAAGTACTTGTCTATAACCTGATAATTTAAAATTAAAGTAAAGAGGCAGTAGGTGACACAGTGATTAGAGCTCCTGTCCTGGAATGAGGAGGACCTGAGTTCAAATCCTGCTTTAGACCTTTATTAGCTGTACAATACTCAGCTAAAGTCACTTGACTCTGCTTGCCTCCAAAACAATTGAAACTACATGTGACAGAACTTTAGAAAGCAGGGTTGTGTTTGGCCATATTTTTAAAACTAAAAGAATTATAACGACAAACTCTAATTCAAAACAATGCACCAAAAAACAAGCTTAGTCAATAAGATTGGATCAAGAGACCAGGACTGTTGAAACTTCCAGAAGGATCAGTCAGATGGAGCAGATACTTAGGGGCTATCACAGGAAGTTATTCAAATGATCTCAGCTCATGCGATGGACATCCAGCAGAAGAAAAAAAGCATTATCCCCCTAGATCACTTAATAAAGAAAGCAGGTTTTCCTCAAGTAGAAGGTCTTGGTGCTGGGTGCAAAAGGAAACAGACTTACCAATGGGTGGTGGAATCACTGTAGTGGCACCTGTAAAAAGAAGGAAGTCCAAAGTTTAAACACAATCCTATTGCACAGCAGACATTTTGGTGGCAGGATGCCTAAAATCCACCAACAAGTATCTCTTCAGCAGTTACCACACACTGGGCACCCTACTACGCACTAAGGAATGACAAGAAAGAATAGAACATTTCTATGCCAATGAGGGGCTTGCTTTCTGATAGAAGTCATGATACATACATGAATTATTCTTTAGAATAGCTACATGCAGAGGAGATGGAAGGTAAACTTGGCATGGAGAATACAAAGAGGAATTGCAAGGACTTCCTAGGGAAAGCAATTTTATAGGCATCTTCAAGGTAGCCTGAGCAACCAGAGGTAGGCAGAAGTGAGGAGGGAGGACACAAGGAAAGGAGAAGGCAAATAAGGCATAATGTGTAAGGAGTGGCGCAGAGCTACTTACCCCCAAACTGTAGCATGAGGGGAAAGGTACTAAGTGCAAAGATAGGAAGGGATCAGGATCGCCAGACATTGACATGCCAACCAGAAAAGCTGATTTTGATGTCACAGATAATAGGGAACAGAGGCATTCTAGGGGGCTCAATTAATAGAGCACTGGGCTTGGAGCCAGAAAGACCTGAGTTGAAATCCAACCATAGAGAGTTACTAACTTTCTGACCCTAGTAAAGTCATTTACTCTCTGTCTACCTTTTTCCTTAACTAGGAAAAGGGGAATGACAAGAAAAGGTACTTCACAGGGTTGTTGTGGGGGTTAAATGAGATAATATTTGTAAACTGATTAGCACATGGCTTGAGACAGGGGAGGTTCTTAATAAATATCTTTTTCTTGGAGCACCTAGATGGCACAGTGAATGGAGCACTGGCCCTGGAGTCAGAAGGACTTGAGTTTAAATGAGGCCTCAGGCACAGAACCCTGATTATCTGTATGACCCTGGGCAAGTCACTTAACCCCAAGTGCCTCACCAAAAAGAAAAAAATAACATCTAGAACAAATCAAGAGTCACTATACATACAACCAAAAAAAAAAAAATGCAAGAATAACACATACACTTAAAACAGAGAAAAGGGCCTACATGTGATTCACAGGAGAGTGAAAGAAACAAGTAATTTTCTATAACCTGATAATTTAAATCGAATTTAAGAGGCAGTTGGTGACACAGTGATCAGATCACTTGTCCTGGAATCAGGAGGACCTGTGTTCAAACACTGCTTTAGACCCTTCTTAGCTGCATGTCCCTGAGCAGAAGTCACTTGACCCTGCTTGCCTCCAAAAGAATTAAACTACCTAAGATAGAACTTCAGAAAAAAGGTATATGTTTGGCAATATTTCTAACACTTATAGAATTATAATGAAAAACTCTAATTCAGAACAATGAAGCAATAAAGAAGCTCAGTCAATAGCATTAGATGAAGAGACCACGACTGCCGAAACTTCCCAATTGGATCAGTCAGGTGGATCAGATACTTTCGGGTTATAACTGGGAGTTCTTAACATGATCTCAGCTCATCGGATGCACATCACAGCAGGAGAAAAAAGCATTATAGTCCTGGACCTCTTAGTAAAGAAAGCAGGATTTCCTCAAGTACAAAGCCTTGGTGCTGAGTGCAAAAGGAACCAGACTTACCAATGGGTGGTGGAATCGCTGTAGTGGCACCTGTAAAAAGAAGGAAGTCCAAAGTTTAAACACAATCATATTTCACAGTAAACATTTTGCTTGGCAGGATACCTAAAATGTACCAACAAGTATCTCTTAAACAATGAGTGCTAGGGTTAGGGGGTTAGGGTTACAGATAGGATTAGGGTGAGAAAGGAATCATAAGGGATCATAAAAGGAGTGATGATGAATCATTAGGGTTAGAAAGGATTAAAAAGGAATCATTAGGGTTAGAATGTAATCATAGGGTTAGGGTTAGGGTTATGGTTAAGGTTAGAAAAGACAGGGTTAGAAATGACTGAGGTTAGTGTCAGGGTTAGGGTTCAGGTTAGGGTTGGGTTTAGGGTTTAGGGGCTCAATAGATAGACCACAGAGCTTGGAGTCAGAAAGGCCTGAGTTGAAATTCAACCACAGATACTGACTAGATTTGGTACCCTAGCAAAGTCATTTACTCTCTTTCTACCAGTTTCCTCAATTAGGAAAAGGGGAATACCAATACAAGTTACCTCACAGCATTGTTGTGCAGGTCAAATGAGATAACATTTGCAAATTGATTAGAACAGTGCCAGGAAAAAGGAGTCTAATAAATGAATTTTTCTTATTATTCTCTTTTTCTTTTTTTTTACATAAGTTTGTGTTCCTTCCGCAGACAGAGCATGGAAGAGGCTCTGACAAAAAGGACGTAATTAGCTGTGAATCACATCAGGGGTGGCTGCCGCAGTATGGAGACAAACTCTTGTTTTCCCGTTCGTTGCCTTATCGCTAATACTTATGGGTCTGCTGGCTAGCTGCAGTCCCTCACTGTCAAGGCATTCAGGCCAATCTCCATAGGAAGGGTCCCAAGGATTGAGCCAGGTTTACTATAATGGATTCTTTGAGAATGGGCGGGGTGGAATTTATCAAGGGACTGTACCCCTCTTAAAAGGGGGGGAGGGTACTCCATACAGAAGCTGAATGACAATTATAAAGGACAGGGGAAAGGCATGAGACAGAGTAGCTAGAAAGATAATTCCTGGCTCTTTTATTTCCCCACAGCATTCTCAACAGCCTCTTAGCTCTGGGGATGAACCATGGTTGGGTTGGGAAGATTAGCCTTTAAGAGAACCTTACAAAAATCATACACTACTCAAGCAGGGAAAGGAAGGCTTCTCAGCTTTCCCTACCCCACCAACCCGAGGCTGATAACTACCAAATACATAGGATGGCCACAGGTCCAGGAATGACTGGCAAGCTAAGAAGAAGGGCTGATGGCTGGAGGGAGTCACCATGCCACAATCCAGCACTAGGCTCAAGCTGAGTTAGAGCCTATACCTGATTCCAGATTAGGAAGCTAACATGTGAATTAAAGTCATGTTACTTGAGGGCACTTTCCTCAAGCTTAACTGAGCCACCAAATACTCTTCCCGCCACCTATATCCAAAATTCAAGGTCCAAAGAAGTGGGCCTTTCGATCTCACTAATACTGTACTCCTTAGGAATGCACACAGTCATTCTGCTTCACAAAAGGAGGAATAAGAGGAAGGGCCAACTTAGAGCCTGAGAGGAAACCAACCGTGGTAACAAGATAGCCACTCTTTTTGTGGAATGCCTCGCCATCCCCTCTGGCCCTTGCTGGCTCAAAGAATTCTCTACAGTGAGTGCTTCTCTGAGCAGGGGGCTAACTTCCCATTCACTTTAGAAGTGACCATAAAACTGAAATAACTGAGTCCTAGTGGCTGGTGACCACCAGGAAACTTCAGAACTTCTCAAAGAACATCCACAGTTGAGATCACCACATGTTTTCCATGTACACGATCTCTTCCAAGTGATGCGTCCCCAGAAATAATGTAATAGCCTGGCAAACACGAGGAGATCTTCAGGGTTCTGAGCAGCAGGGACACTGAGGATGGCTCCCTGCTCATGCTCTCACAAGCTGGCCAACAGATTCTTAGTCATTCTTTTATTGAGTGGGGACTCTCCACAGGGGAGCAGGTCAGCACTGCAGTTCTCCATGCTTGGACTTCTGAGGGTCATGTCATCACTGCTGGTTGGTGAGCCAAACCTCAGGGCATTGGGTGTGTTCAGGCTTCTGCCCTCCATGCACGTGGTGATGGACATCCCCCTCTCGTGTTCGACTCTCTTCTTTGTTGGGGAGGATCATCACGCAAACTTATGTGTGCAGTTGAATCAGAAGCCGATGCTGAAGCATCCAGATCACCATCTGGATGAGTTGTGTCTTTTCATATCTCTCTTGAGTTTCGTATTTGAAGATCAAATTTTCTGTTGAGCTCTGGTCTTTTTATCAGGAAGGTATGGAACTCCCCTCTTTCATTGAACATCCATCTCCTCCCCTGAAAGATCACACTCATTTTTGCTGGGTCATTCATCCTCAGTTGTAATCCAAGCTCCTTTGCCTTAGGGAGTATCATATTCCATGCTCTATGGTCTTGTAATAGAGAAGGTGCAAGGTCCTGTGTAATCCTGACTGTGGTCTCAGGATATTTAAATTGTTTCTTTCTGGCTGCTTGCAATATTTTCTCTTTGACCTTCTAATTTTGGAATTTGGCTCCTATATTCCTTGGTGTTTTCAATTGGGGGATGTCTTTCAGGAGGTGATCGGTGGATTCTTTCTATGGCTGTTTTACCCTCTGGGTCTAGGACCTAAGGGCAGCTTTCCTTTATGATTTCCTGAAAGATACTGTTCAGGCTCTTGTTTTCCTCGTGATTTTCAGCTACACCAATACTTTTTAAATTGTCTCTCCTGGATCAAATTTCCCAGTTAGTTGTTTTACCAATGAGATATTTTGCATTTTCATCTTTTTTTTCATTCTTTGGCTTTTTGTTTCACTGATTCATACTCTCTCATACAGTCATTGGCTTCCATTTACTCAAGTCTAATTTTTAACAAATTGTTTTCTTCACTCAGATTTTGTATTTGGCCAATTATATTTTTAGGGACTTGTTTTCTTCAGTGTACTTATTTCCAGGTGGCCAAATGTATTTTTTCAGGACTTGTTTTCTACACTTACCTTTTGTCCTTCCTTTTCCAAACTATTGACTCCCTCTTACATACCTCTTGTTTCTTTTTCCATTTTTCTTCTACCTCTCTCATTTCACTTTTAAAATCCTTCTTGAGCTCTTCTGAGAAGACTTTTTGGGCTTCACACCAGTTCCAGATGTGGGTTTGTTCACAATGTTGTCCTCTTTAGAATTTCTGCCTTGATCTTCACTCTTCCCATGATAAGAATCTGTTGTATGTTTCCTTTTGCTCAAGGTGCTTGCTTATCTCCTGGCCTGTAAAGAGACTGGGCTCTCCTGCTGGGGAGCAGAGGGAACTGAGCCAACATTCTTGTGTTGGGAGCCTAGTGCCTGGTCACTGGCTTTCTGGGCTGGGGCTTCCAATGTTGGCAGGTGGAGTATGTAGGGTTCTGGCCGCTTACCTGGTGCTGGGCTGGAAACAGCAAAACCAGAATTCCAGGAGTAGGATTAGGTAGGGTGGCTCCTGGAGATTTGCTACTCACCCAGGCCTTTCCTTCCTTTTGCTTTCTATAGCTCTTTGCAGTTGGGTATTGTAGGGTGTTTATCCACCTGGGTGGGGCTCTTTGGAGTGCTGCTTCCCTTAGTTGTGCTGAGGCACTAGGAGAGCCAGTTGCTGTAGAATGCAAAGGCACCTGATGGTTTTCTGAGCTGGTTTCCACAGGTTCCCCATATTTGCCTGCTCTACCACCTGGGCTTCAGAATCTCCTCCTACTATGCTGAGGTGGGCTTTCTGCTAGCTTGCTGGGATGCCTCCCATTCTATACTGCTCCCCTTCCCCCAGGGCAAGAAGACACTTCCCAGTTAATCCCTCAAGGTACCTCGGCTATTGGACTGCTGTACCCCATCTTTCTTCCGGTTCAGCTGTTCCACAGTTTTTCCTGGTGTGATATTTTCAGTGGTTTCAGGGGTTAATAAGGGAGAGTAAGAGAGACTCACCTCTTACTCCACTATCTTGGCTCCTGGAAGTGGAAGTCCAACAATGTGTTTTCTTGCACAGTGGATAGAGCACTGGCCCTGGAGTCAGAAGGACCTGAGCTCAAAGGCGGCCTCAGACATATAACCCTGACTAACTGTGTGACTCTGGGCAAGTCACTTAACTCTAACTGCCTCAACGGAAAAAAAAAAATTAAATGTGTTTTCTTTCCCTTCTCTTCCACCAAATGGAAGTATTGAACAGGAAGTGACATTGCCAGAAAAAAACTTTAGGGAAATCATTAGAGAGAAACATAAGAATAAGCTCTAATTTAAAACAATACAAGATATATATTAACACTGTTGCTAGGACAAGGTAAGAACACAAGTTCCATCTAAGGGGTCAGGAAGGGTCTCTCAGACTGAACAAGTACTTGGGGGATGTATCTAACAGAAGAATTCTTAATATGAGTCTCAGTTCATTGGATGAATATTTATAGGAAGGTGAAAAGGAGCCTGCTCCTATAACATAGGAGCCCTTGCAGAAAAGAAGCAGCAGGACTTTGCCAGAGAGACAATACCTGAGCAGATGACACTGGCATCCTCACTGTGCCGACAGTTGTGGATCAGCCACCCATTGTGGGGACAGGACCACAGATAGGATTCAGACCCGGAACACCGCACGTTATCCAGGAGAATTCTGCCAGTGCCCTGACCAAAACGGGCCCTTCCTGGAGCTGACAGAGCATATCCACAACCCAGCTGCCTGCACACAACGTTGCCATCAGTCACATCCCAGTCATCATCACAAACGGTGCCCCAGGATCCTTGGTATCTGACTTCCACTCGACCCTGGCATCTGTCTCCTCCGTTCACCAGTGTCAAGGCCAGACCAGAATCTAATCCAAGGGAGAGAGGGGGAGAGAACAATTTCATTTCGGTATCCTCCCTCAGGAATGAAACCTCAGGGCTTTTAGAGACTTCCCTCAAAGCTCAGAAGGGCTGAGATTGCTGAGGTGGCAACTCTCCTTTAGGGGTGTCTTAGTGTGAAAGTAACACAATGAAAAGGATACCAAAAGGCTATCTCATCCACAAAAGGTATTATTCCTTCCTTTGTTACTCCCTAGTCTGAAGCTCAGCAGACTATTTACATGGGAAGCTTAAAATTCCCTGATTTAAGGGGCGTCTACATGGCGTGAAGGATACAGCTTTGGCCTTGAAGTCAGGAGGACCTGAGATGAAATCCAACCTCAGACATTGACACTTACTAACTGTGTGACCTTGTGTAAGTCACTTAACCCCGATTGCCGAAGCAAAAAAAAAAATTTCCTGATTTATCCTACATAATCTTATGAATATTTCACTGGAACTTTTATTTGCAAAAGTTCTAAGTGCATCTCTGCCTCGTGTATCATCTTAATGGGCAGGAATTTACCACTATAAAATAGTCAGGTATTAAAATGATCGCTTGCTCATCATTGTGCCTTTTTGCTCTCTACACTTCCACTTAGGTATATGATCAAAACTTTAAAAAATGATCTGGTTAGTCTGTGAAGTAAATATCTTACAAAGGAGAAAGGGGACAAATGAAAATAGTAAAAAAAAAAAAAGAGGAAATTAAGGATAAAAGGAATTGAAGGAAGAAGAGTGGAAGAAGACAAAAAGAAAATGAAGCTAAAGAAAGAAAGAAAGAAAGAAAGAAAGAAAGAAAGAAAGAAAGAAAGAAAGAAAGAAAGAAAGAAAGAAAGAAAGAAAGAAAGAAAGAAAGAAAGAAAAAAAGAAAGGAAGAAGGAAGGAAGGAAAAAGGAAGGAAGGAAAGAAACAATGAAACAACAAAACAAAGAAACAAAGAAAGAAAAGGAAAGAAGATTGAAGGAGTAAGTAGAAAGTACTATTTTCCTCCTGAAAAATGATGAAATACCTTTCTCTGGAAAGACATATAAAATCTGAGAGCTAATTTGGACCTCTTCTTTCTTTGGCATGAAATGGCAATGACCTGCTCCACATCCACAATAATTCCTAATGATAGGTTCAGGACAAAAAGCATCTAGCACCTCCAGGGACAACGAAAATTGGAAGGTAGGAAAAATACCCAAGGATTCCTTGGTCCACATTTTGCCCCCTCAGCCAGGGTCATACTAGCAAAGTGGTCCTAACTCAGTCCTACAACAGGTTCTAGAACATAATACAATCGTTGGCACCAGTGAACGTGGAACAAGGGGCAATTGGTAGTTGTTCCAGATGATTTTCTGGAGCGAAAAGGCCTCCTCAGCAGGTAAAGAAACATGGGGAATCTTGGCCCATGTAGCTGACACTGTATTTCAGAATCTTCATCTTAGGGGCAGCTACATGGCACAGTGGAAAGTGCACTGGCCCTGCAGTCAGGAAGACATGGGTCGAAATCTGGTCTAAGACACTTGACACTTACTAGCTGTGTGACCCTGACCAACTCGCTTAACCCCAATTGCCTCACCAAAAATAAAAATGAAGAATCTAAAACATTTCAAGAGTCACTATATGGAAGACCATAGGCATAAGAAAAAGAAGAAACAAGAACAACACCTACACTTACCATGTTTCAGAGAAAAGGGCTTAAATGTGATCCATATGAGAGTGAGAGGAACAAGTACTTGTCTATAACCTGATAATTTAAAATTAAAGTAAAGAGGCAGTAGGTGACACAGTGATTAGAGCTCCTGTCCTGGAATGAGGAGTACCTGAGTTCAAATCATACTTTACACCTTTATTAGCTCTATAATCCTCAGCTAAAGTCACTTGACTCTACTTGCCTCCAAAACAATTCAACTACATGTGATAGAACTTTAGAAAGAAGGGTTTTGTTTGGCCATATTTTTAAAACTAAAAATATTATAATGACAAACTCTAATTAGAAACAATGCAGCAAAAAACAAGCTCAGGCAATAAGATTGGATCAAGGGACCAGGACTGTTGAAACTTCCAGAAGGATCAGTCAGATGGAGCAGATACTTTGGGGCTATCACAGGAAGTTATTCAAATGATCTCAGCTCATGCGATGGACATCCAGCAGAAGAAAAAAAGCATTATCCTCCTAGATCACTTAGTAAAGAAAGCAAGTTTTCCTCACATAGAAAGCCTTGGCGCTGAGTGCAAAAGGAACCAGACTTACCAGTGGTTGGTGGAATCGCTGTAGTGGCACCTGTAAGAAGAATGAAGTCCAAAGTTTAAACCGAATGATATTTCACAGTAGACACTTTGGTGGCAGGATGCCTAAAATCAACCAACAAGTATCTCTTCAGCAGTTACCACACACTGGGCACCCTACTACGTACTGAGGGATGACAAGAAAGAGCAAAAAACTTCTGTGCCAACGAGGGGCTAACTTTCTGATAGAAGTCATGATACATACGTGAATTATTCTTTAGAATGGTTACATGCAGAGGAGATGGAAGGTAAACTTGGCATGGAGAATACAAAGAGGAATTGCAAGGACTTCCTATAGAAAGCAATTTTATAGTCACCTTAAATGTAGCCCGAGAAACCCGAGGTAGGCAGAGCTGAGGACAGAGGACAAAAGGAAAGAAGAAGGCAAATAAGGTATAATGTGTAAGGAGTGGCGCATGGCTACTTATACCCGAACTGTAGCATGTGGAGAAAGGTAATAAGTGCAAAGATAGGAAGGCATCAGGATAGCAAGACATTTAAATGCCAAACACAAAAGCTTATTGTGCTCTTAGAGATGATAGGGAACAGAGGCATTCTAGGGGGCTCAATGAATACAACACTGGGCTTGAAGCCAGAAACACCTGAGTTGAAAGCCAACCATAGATAGTTAGTAACTGTGGGACCCTAGGAAAGTCATTTCCTCTCTGTCTACCTTTTTCCTTCACTAGGAAAAGGGCAATGACAATACAAGTAACTTCACAGGGTGGTTGTGGAGGTCCAATGAGATAATATTTGTAAATTGATTAGCACAGGGCCTGAAACAGGGTAGGTGCTTTATCAATGTATTCTTGTGAAGCAGCTAGATGGCATAGTGAATAGAGCACTGGCCCTGCAGGCAGAAGGACTTGAGTTCAAATGAGGCCTCAGACATAGAACCCTGACTAGCTGTGTGACCCTGGGCAAGTCACTGAACCCCAAGAGTCTCACCAGAAAAAAAAGAAAAGGAAATAGAATCTAGAACAATTCAAGAGTCACTATACGTACAATCAACAAAAAAAAAAAGCAAGAATAGCACCTACCCTTACAACATGTCAGAGAAAATGGCTTACATGTGTTCCACAGGAGACTGAGAGAAACAAGTACGTATCTATAACCTGAGAGTTTAAACTTGAATTTAAGAGGCAGTTGGTGACACAGTGATTAGATCACTTGTCCTGGAATCAGGAGGACCTGAGTTCAAAAACTGCTTTAGAACCTTCTTAGCTGGATGACCCTGAGCAAAAGTCACTTGAGCCTGCTTGCCTCCAAAAGAATTCAATTACATATGATAGAACATTAGAAGGAAGCTTTTTGTTTGGCAATATTTTTAAAACTTATACAATTATAATGACATATTCTAATTCAAAACAATGCAGCAATAAATAAACCCAGTCACTAGGATTAGATCAACAGACCAGGACTGTTGAAACTTCCCAGAAGGATCAGTCAGATGGATCAGATACTTTGGGACTATAACTGGCAGTTCTTAAAATGATCTCAGCTCATGGGGTGGAAATCACAGCAGGAACATTATCATCCTGAATCACTTAGAAGAGAAAGCAGGTTTTCCTCAAGGAGAAAGCCTTGGTGCTGAGTAGAAAAGGAAGCAGACTTACGAGGGGTTGATGTAAAGTCTGTAGTGGCATCTGTAAGAAGAATGAAGTCCAAAGTTAAACACAATCATATTTCACAGGAGATATTTTGTTTGGCAACATGCCTAATATCCACCAACAAGTATCTCTTTAGCAATTACTGTTATGCTTAGGGTTAGGGTTAGAAAGGAATCACAAGGAATCATAGAAACGAATCGTAAGGGTTAGAAAGGAATCATTAGGGTTAGAAAGGAATCATAGGGATAGGGTTAGGGTTAGGGTTAGAATGGATTGGAGTTAGGGTTAGGGTTAGAGTGAGGATTTAGGGGCTCAGTACATAGACCACTGGGCTTGGAACCAGAAACGCCTGAGTTGAAGTTCAGCCACAGACAGTTACAAGCTTTGTGACCCTAGCAAAGTCATTTACTCTCTGTCTACCTGCTTCCTCAATTATGAAAAGGGGAATGACAATAGAAGTTACTTCACAGGGTTGTTGTGGAGGTCAAATGAGACAATATTTGTAAATTCCTTAGCACAGGGCCTGGAACAGGGTAGGTACTTAATAAATGTATTTTCGTGGAGCAGCTAAATGGCACAGTGAATAGAGCACTGGCCCTGGAGTCAGAAGGACCTGAGTTTAAATGAGGCTTCAGACATACAACCCTGACTACCTGTGTGACCCTGGGCATGTCACTTAATCCCAATTGCATCACCAAGAAAATATAGAATCTGGAGCAATTCAACAGGCACTATACGTACAACCAAAAAACAAAAAAAAAGTAAGAATGACACCTAACACATTGCAGAGAACAGGGCTTACATGTGATTCACAGGACAGTGAGAGAAACAAGTACTCGTCTCTCACCCGATAATTTAAAATTGAATTTAAGAGGCAGTTCGTGACACTGTGACTAGATCACTTATCCTGGCATCAGGAGGACCTGAGTTCAAATACTGCTTTATACCCTACTTAGCTGGATGACCCGGAGCAAAAGTCACTTGAGCCTGCTTGCCTCCAAAAGAATTCAATTACATAGGATAGAACATTAGAAGGAAGCTTTTTGTTTGGCAATATTTTTAAAACTACAAGAATTATAATTACAATCACTGATTCAAAACAATGAAGTAATAAAGAAGCTCAGTCAATAGCATTAGATCAAGAGACCACGACTGTTGAACCTTCCCAGAAGCATCAGTCAGATGGATCAGATATGTTG